CACAGACACACACACACACACACACACACACACTCACATACACACAAACACACACATACACACACACATACACACGTTGTGAAAACTGAATGTTCTCATAAGAAGCTCGTTGTTGGTCTGAGAATGGTCACAAACACACACTATACGCCGGCGCTAGTGAGGAGAGGGTGGATGTTCTGGGGGTTCAGGTTTGGGGTCATGAGGTCATGAGGTCACCTCTAAACCTGCGGTCAGTTCTACCTCCCCACTGTGACCTTCAGCCACACCCCTCTGCTCGGAGGGGCACCTGTTGGGTGACTGCTCATCATCATCATCATCATCAGTGGACAGAGAGAAGCTCTCTCCTCCAGACTCGCTGTCGCTGTGGGGACCGGCCCTCGCGGGGCCCACGTGCGTGAGGGGCCCGGAGAAGTTAGCCGAGTTTACACTGCTGGAGTCACTGGAGTCACTGTCAGACTCAAACTCGTCGAGGGCTCGCACTGAGCTCAGCGGCTCCACACACGCAACACACGCTTGATAATACACCGCAGGCTCCCAGGGGCCCTCTGGAGGCTCAGGTACCTGAGGCTGAAGTTCCTCTGCCGGCGGCTGCTGATCCTCTTCTTCAGCCGGATGACTCTCTGATGGCTGCCAGAGAAATAAAGAACATATGATCAACAGGCAGAAAACCAAACAGAATCAACAACAAAAACTGAATTAGCAGCTTTTATATCTTCTAACTAGTAAAGTACAATGCAAAAAAAATGCTTTTCTTAGATTTTTGTCTTGTTTCCAGCCAAGATACCTAAAAATTCTTAAATCAAGAAGGATTTTTTAGATAAGTGAAAATTATTGTCGTTTTCAGAAAAAACAAGTCAAAATTAAGTGAGTTTTTCCTTAGAACAAGCAAAATAATATTATTTCAAACAGAAAACAAGATTATTTTGCTTACCTCATTGGCAGATTATTTTGCTTTTTTCAAGCAAAAAACACTTAATTTTGACTTGTTTTTTTCAGTAAACAAGACAATACTTTTTACTTGTCTAGAAAATCCTTCTTGATTTAAGATTTTTTAGATATCTGTGCTGGAAACAAGTAACATCTCAAGAACTATTCACTGAGATCACACTACAAAAACATGTCAAACCACCAATAATCACAGCATTAATTTAGCTTCTTTAGCTTTAAATTAAACTCTTCAACAAAAATGTGATTGGCTCATTTGACTGAACGGCCGAACTTTGTGTTTGTCTTTTCCATTATAAATACCTAAACTTTTCTAAATCAACATACATCTACTTAAAAAGCAAAATGACGTAATATATTCATTCTTGTTTTCTGATAGAAATGATCAAAATTAAGCAAGTTTATGGTTACAATTATAAAAAATATCTGCCCATGGAATAAGAAAAATAATCTTCTTTTCCATTTGAATGAAGTTGATTTTTCTGACAGATTTTTTTCGTTGTTTTAAGCATAAACTCACTTGATGTTACCAAATCTTCCACAAGTAAAAAAGTAATTTTGCTTCTCCACTAAATGTATCTTGACTTAAGAATATTTAGATATTTTGTACTGGAAGATACAAAACAAGACAAAAATACTAAGCATAATATCAACACTGCTCCCGTTTAGTAAAAATGAAATGACATGATGTCTGACAGACACAAGTCTGATCGAGGACAGACTCATTTCTAGAGTTTCTTCAGAGCTGCACCTTGTGTAACGCGATCGTCTGTGTGATCGGAGCGGGAGACACAGACGCAGACGCAGACGGAGTCCAGCTGCGAGTGGACTGCAAGAGTGCCGTGAGCTCAGGAGACATCTCATCAAAACTGGGCTTAGGCTGAACAAAGAGAGACACACAGCGTTAAACACGCATACACACACACAAGAGCATTCTGGGTAATTCAGGGAGTGAAGGGGCTCATTTAGGACTTATTCATAAGAGAACACCTGCTGCACTGTATATGCATTGTGCAAAGAATTTACTTTATAATTTACAAGAGAAATAAAATTAATGCAATTTTTAGTTTTTTTAAATGCATTTTTCAACTTAAAATCAGAGTTGTCTCCCGTAAAGGCTGGAAATACAGCTGCATGAATCATTTCTGAGCCAAACACACCAGTGACATGCAAACAGTGAGAGTGAGAGAGCGGATCGGTTTGGTCAGAGAAGGATTCAAGCAGCTCAAAGATTATGACGACCAATAATCTTATGTATAACGTTTGTCCAGCAGGTGGCGCTAACACCAAGCTGATGGAATGATGCCTACAAAATGTTGTTAATTTGCAGAAGTGCTGCAGGAACACAACTTTACCTCTTGTTTAGTGCTTCACCAGCAGATTTGTTATGACAAACTTTGAAGTTGGCTTGATAAAGCTAGACCAGAAAGTTTAAAAAAGTTTTAAAAGCTTGAATTTATATGACGACCAATAATCTTATGTATAACGTTTGTCCAGCAGGTGGCGCTAACACCAAGCTGATGGAATGATGCCTACAAAATGTTGTTAATTTGCAGAAGTGCTGCAGGAACACAACTTTACCTCTTGTTTAGTGCTTCACCAGCAGATTTGTTGTGACAAACTTTGAAGTTGGCTTGATAAAGCTAGACCAGAAAGTTTAAAAAAGTTTTAAAAGCTTGAATTTATCTCGTTTACAACAAAGACCTTCTGCAGCCATTTGACTCATGATCTCTGAAGATAAAAGAGACTCTCTTATGAATAAACCCTCATATCCAGCAGCAGCCAGAGCGCAAGACAAAGACGCTGCCGTTCCTCAGTCATGACTAAAGCAAAGCAGCGGCATTCTCCAAAACAATGAAGAAAACAGGCTCCTGCTCTCAGGGTCGGTGAGAAGAGGCTCAAAACAACAAACAGTGACAGCAAATTCCAGCCAGAGGGATTTGTATCAGACCAAAACAACCGAACTCAAATCAGGAGCGCGTGTGGAGCTCTGGCTTCAGAGTTCGTCTGAGATCTCAAAGCCAGGCCGAGGAGAAGCGAGACGTCGGGAAATCCTACCACTCGAGCTGTCGGAGACGTTCTGCTGAGATCCACAGGAGAGCGGAGACGCATCTTACTGATCTGCTCAGACACAACGGAGAAACCCTCTAGAGATCCGGTGAGTTTATCTTCTGGAGGTTCACCGGACGACGTCGTGCTCGAGGCGGATGTGAATCTGTAGCTGGCGATGCGTTTCTTCTCTGGAACCTTCGGGGGGACTTTTGGTGGTACTTTAGGAGGAACATGCTCTGAAGAACCAACAGAAGGAACCTTTATGGGTTCAACCTTTCCTTGGACCACCGTAGAAACCTTTTCTGGCACCTTCGGAGGAATTTTCTTTGGAGAAACCTCTTCAGATACGACGGATGATGGTTTCTTTGGTTCCACTGGAGGAAACTTTTCTGGTATCTTCAGAGGAGTCTTCTTAGGAGAAAACTCTTCAGATACAATCAAAGAAGGTTTTTCTGGAGGAAAAGTTTCTTGTACTATGGTAGAAACCTTTACTGGTATCTTAGAAGGAGTTTTTCTTGGATAAACCTCTTCAGATACAATGGACAAGGGTTTTTCTGGAGGAACCTTTTCTGGAATCTTAGAAGGAGTTTTCCTTGGAGAATCCCCTTCAGATACAATGGACAAGGGTTTTTCTGGAGGAGCCTTTTCTGGAATCTTAGAAGGAGTTTTTCTTGGAGAATCCCCTTCAGATACAATGGACAAGGGTTTTTCTGGAGGAACCTTTTCTGGAATCTTAGAAAGAGTTTTCCTTGGAGAATCCTCTTCAGATACAAACAAATAAGGTTTTTCTGGAGGAAATGTCTCCTGTACTATGGTAGAAACCTTTTCTGGAAGCTTAGAAGGAGTTTTCTCTGGAGGAAGCTCTTCATATTTGGCGGAGAAGGGTTTTTCTGGCTCAACTGGAGGACGTTGTTCTTGTACTACGGTGGAAACCTTCTCTGGTATCTTACGAGAAAACGTTTCTGCTTTGACTGGAGGACGTTTATCTGGTTCAAACGGAGGAACCTTGTTTATAATGACCCACCCGTCAGACTCCTACATGTAACACACAAAGATCATGTTAGCAGACTGGAGGGAAAGCACCGTTAGTCACGCCTGATCCATGAAGACTGAGACGGACAGACAGACTGACGCTGCTGAGCTCAATGACACACATCATCATGATCATGAGCATCTGATGAGGAGGAATGGATCACCTACCACATCAACCTTCTCTTCCTGCGGCTCCAGAGCTGCTGCGGCCACTTCCTGTATCTCCACCGCTGCTTCCTGTTTGAGCTAAAGCAACAGACATTTAAAAAAAAAAAAAGAGTCAAAATGATGGAGCTGAATGCACTGCACTTTTTCTATTTAGTATTTTTGTCTCATTTTCCATTAAAAATATCTAAACGTTCTTGAAACAAGATACATTTACTTGAGAAGCAAAATGACTTAAGATATTCATTTTGTTTTCTGAGAAAGTTATCAAACTTTTGTTAGTTTTTACTTAAAACCACACAAAAAATATCTGCCAATGGGGTAAAAAAAAAAACTTAATTCAAAGGAAAAACAAGATTTTGTGCTTTTGTTGAAGATCCAGACCACATCACATGTCTAATTATTTCAATAATAATTAATTAAAAAAATCATGGCCAGTAGTTTTAATCAAAAATGGCTGCAAGAAATGTATAAATTAAATAAATAAATGTGAGGTTCATAATATATTTTATATAAATCTCACAAAATGTATTTTATTCTTTAATTTCCTACACACACACACACACACACACACACACACTCACACACACACACACACACACACACACAATTTCTTTAATAAAAATGGATTATAAAAAGTCATAGCAAGGAGTTTTGATCATCATAGAAGTACTACAAAAATGCCATAAATGAAGAAATATTTTTTGAGAGATTTATAATAAAAACGCAATTAGACAAAACGTAATTAGATCAACACAATTACATAAAAATAATATATGGAAAATATAATATATAAAAGAATTTCTAAATAATTGAATCATAAACTGAAAATTAAACATAATACTCAAAAAATAAATCTATAAGTAAATAAATATAAAATACATTTTAAATAAATAAATAAATGTGAGGTTTATAATATATATAACATAAATCTCACAAAATGTAATTTTAAAAATTTCTTTCTCTGAAAACAAGTCTTCAATACAGAAGGATGTTGAGAGAATTCTTCAGAAGCGCAGCACACAGATCCTGATTAAGGACAGGATTTTTCCTGTCTTTCCCTCTGTCGGGTTTTATGTAAGCGGCACATAATGATTTTCTCTGATCTGAAGTGCTTAGAGCAGCTAAACGCCAGAACCGTGAGTGTTTCTGGAGCGGAAAAACAAAATCAATAAGAGGTTTTCTGTTGCTCTCGTCTGAACCGGCTGCATTCAGATCCTTTTCAAAGAACGGCTTCTTTTAATTACAGCAGCGTCTGGTTTTCCATTCTGATCAACACATGCGAGACGTGGATCTCACCTCGTCCGGCTCCAGCGGCTCGATCATGGGCGCTTCGTCCAGACGCGGGGACCGCAGCGGAGACGAGGACAGACGCTTCTCCCACTCGGTCAGCCCCGTGCGCTCCGGTCCTCCCTCCAGGAACGTGCGCTTCAGCTCGCTGATGTTGGTCTGATGCTTCAGCAGCTCGTCTGGCGTTTGCTCGATCTCCTGAACAAACACAACAAGTCAAGTCACCTGTGTTTATACAGTGCTTATAACAATACAGATTGTATCAAAGCAGCTTTACAGTATTAAATAAGAAAATAGTGTGTAATAATGCAGAAGGATAATAGTAAACACTCAATTTTCAGTTAAAGGCAGTTAATTGAATTCAGTGATGTCATCATCCAGCTCAGCTCAGTTTAAATAGTATCTGTGCAATCAAGTCCACGATATCGCTGGAAAATAAGAGTACTGAATACTTACTGAATAGTACTGAATACTGAATGCAGGCTCTGGTGCTGCTCGTGTGGTTTTTGTTTCAATTAAATTAATGACCATGTTTCAGTTCATATTTTTGCACTTTTATGGGATTTTATTGTAGGTAAATTATATTTGTGACCCTGGACCACAAAACCAGTCATACCCCAGCGACTTAACACTGCTTTTGTGCTGCAGGGTCACAAATATGGAACAGGTATGGTGAAAAACAGCCAGAGACTCACCGTGCAATCCAACCAAGGTGCACAGACCAAAAAAGGTTCCCAAAAATACTAGAAAAAAGTCTGTTTGCCTTGTTGCCTTGTCTTTTTTCATCTCGCTTGTGACGTTTTGATTTTTGAGAGTGTGCGGACTTTTTTCTAGTATTTTAGTTTTTGAAATAGTTATGATCCATTTATTACCAGTTTTTTTTGGAGCATAGACCAGAAAATGAGATTTTCAACTTAAGTCTGTGCTTCAAAGCATTCAGAATTGACGACAGTTTAAGTTTGATCTCTTTTTAAAGAAGACACTTGGCAGATTATCGCTGAAGTGAAAAATTTTACAACATTCTAAAAAAGTTACAAAAGTTTATTATTAAGAGAAATGCACTAAAATGCAATTTTACAATTTTCTATGATGTATTTTTTCTAAACATGTTTTACTTTAAAACTGAGAAAATCAAAGGCATAAATCTAAACAAGTTGTGTTCCAAATTTGAGGTTGATATCACAAAAAAATTAGCTTTCAGTCAAATTATGTTTGGGCGCAGTACCAAACGCTTACACTTCCCATTCGTTTCCAATGCGATCATTCTTGACCGCGAACAGTACAAGTACATCTATTTTTTCAGGACCCTTTCACCTTTTCAAATCATGACCATTACTTTTTTTTGTGTTCACATTGCACGTGCCAAAAACTTTACCAACTTTCGTACCATTCCAAATGAAGTAAAAAAAAAAAAATTTCTAAAAAACTTCTGTAAAAGGTTCTGAAAAACAGACTCTCTCCTTTAATTTGCCTCAAGAAGCTAATTAAATGCATTTAAAGCATTGTATGGAAACAATTAACTGACATGCATAAAACACACACACTCTCTGTTCAACTGCACACACACTGCAAACACAGAGAGCTAATCACACAAGGTATAAAATTCATTTTCAGTGAGTAAATCAGCTTCACTGCCACTGCAAACACACATCAGTGCTGCTGGGATAAATCACAGACATGAACACAGCAGCATCAGTATCGAGTTAAAACACGTCCATTCCTTACCGACCTCTAACATCAGCTTACTGTGTCTCACAAACACATTCTCTCCTTTAATTCGCCTTATGAAACTGGGCTGAAGGAAACACAGATCCATTCATGTATTCATCCTCGTGAGTCTTTGTGTTCACACCAGCAGCAACACACACATCTCACACGCTCTCAGTGTCTGTCAGCAAACACTCAGACACACATATATGATTCAGCACTATACAGATTAAAAATAAGACACGAGGAATGAGAGATTGAGTTATATTGCGAATATACAGTATATCACACACAGTGACTGTATTCACTCTATAGACAGCTTCAGATCACTGGACAATCAGAAGTTTTTGTAATTATACATTTTTTATAAGTAAATTTTTTTTTTATAAATATTGTATATACACTATTTATTTCTATAAATTATAATATTACTATTATTAATAAAATATTATTATTAAAATAATTTTTTAATAAAAATGTTAATAAAAGTATTTTTAGATTATTGGAGCACATTTTACATGAAAATACCATTTCAAAAATTCACATTTAATTCAGTGTGTTGCTTGCTGATTCTTTGTGAAATTTACTAGTTATTTCTGAGTGAAAATTGTTTTTACACCATTTTTTTTAATCAGTGTACACTAAATAATTTGGTGTGGATTTATTTTTAAAACAATTTTCAGTCAGAAATAACTAGTAAATTTCACAAATACTTACAAATAAATGGCAAGTACCGAAGTAGAAAGGCTAAAATAGTGTTTTCTTTCAACTAATAATCTTTCTTTACAACTTTGAAAAATCATATTTACAGAGTATAAGTGTATAAAACTAAAAGTGTTTTAATATGTAAGTACAGACTGTTGAATCTTACCTGCGTCTTTGCTTCAGATTCGTCCTCCTGATCCGACTGCACAACAGACACAAAAACATGCGAAATTATGACACATGAGAGTAAACGCTGATATGAAGGAATGAGACGCTTGGGATCATTAGGAGGCTAAACTCATTAACATGACAGGCTTAATGTTTCCATCTCTAGAAGAACAATTATGATTATTAGTCATTATCAGATTAAAGTTTAATGAGAACATCAACAGCCCTGCCATATCTTAATGAGCAATCTAATTACTGCAATCGCTCATTGCATTCTTGTTTTTCTGCTTGATTTTCTGACGTCACAGATCTGATCACGTCTGTCATTATTCAGTTTTTTACTGAAGAATCTGAAGAGAGATCAGATCACAAACCTCGGTGGCCGTTAAATCTCCATCGATAGCAGTGTCTGTGAGATCAGTCTGATCCAACGAAAGCATGAACAGACAGAGAAGCAGAACTGTTAGTTAGGGTTAGTTTACCCATGTGTCCTGTCGGGCTGGTGTCGGTGGCTCAGTTAGCGTTAGTTAGTGTTTGTTTACCCGTGTGTCCTGTCGGGCCGGTGTCAGTGGGTTAGTTAGCGTTAGTTAGGGTCTGTATACCCGTGTGTCCTGTCGGGCCGGTGTCGGTGGGTTAGTTAGCGTTAGGAATCTTAGAAGGAGTTTTCCTTCCTGTCGGTGAAAATTGTTTTTACACCATTTTTTTTGTTAGGGTCTGTTTACCCGTGTGTCCTGTCGGGCCGGTGTCAGTGGGCTCGGCAGCGACGGTTCCGTGGCTTTCGTTATCTCGTCCTCTTCCTCCAGCACTGACACACTCTCCACCAGCACCAGTCGAGTCTCCTCACGCTCCTCCTCGCGCGTCTCCTCGACTTTCTTCTCCGGCGTTACCGTGGTGATGAGGTCACTCATGGCAATGCCTTTGGCCGTGCCGTACAAGGCCGTACCCATCTCTACACACACACACACACACACACACACACACACAGACATCAGTGCTGCATCTGCATTCACTATAACAAACACTGCCTGCATTATATCACTGAATTAAGACTGCAGAATTATTTTATTCTGCATCTTTACTATTGCCTTTGTTTACTTAAAATATAATATTATTTACACACATTGTTAAAAATAATGGTTCCTAAAGTATGTTTTTGCAGTGATTTTTGGTTCAACAAAAAATCTTTCTTTAAACAGATCTTAAAAGAACCATTTTTTCTTAATGTAAAGAACTTTTTAATAATCTAAAGAACCTTTTGATCAATAGAAAGATTCTATGGCTGTTAAATGTTCCTCATGGATCCATCAATGCCTTTAATTTTAAGATTTTAATTTTAATTTTATTTTTAACTACAGCATTATATATATCGTTTATAAATCCAGGTTTTTTTGTTCTCTCCGAAACAAAATAATTCAATGCACTTAAAAAACACATTTAATCAACTAAACTAATAGGAAATCATGAATCTTCATGGTTGTGATGTCATAAGCATGAGCTCATTAGTTCATAATGGCAACAAACACACACACACACACACACACACACACACACATGTGAACACAGCAAAGTATGTCCATTCAGTTACATGTGAAGTGGTTAGTCAGTCATTACAGAGGTCGTTTATGAGAACAAGTTTATTTATAATCATCAAAGAGAAGCTGGATAACGATCAAGGAAAAACTGAATGACTCTGGTGAGTCTGGTTTATTTCTGGTGCAATAAACCCTTGCAATGCTGTATTTCACTGTCTCTGTACTTATACTCCGCACAATGACAATAAAGCTGAATCGAATCTAATCAAAGCAGAGCTCAGGGAATATAAATGGAATGTTTTTGGATATGGTGCTTTTAACTTCTGGAAGTTTGCAAAGTCAATTTTTCTCACAAAGTTTATAAAATAAATCATTGTAACTGGTCTAGGGCGTGATCGTGATGGATTCACTGTGATTCACGGTTTGTTGCTCTAAAAGCTCTAAATAAGCTGTAATTACTGATGATTGTACCACGGTACAACATTGAGTGATTTCTACAGAAGATCTGAGTCTGAACATGATGCTGGTTAAGTGATGCAGTGCTAGTTTTCCTCCTTTTTGCCTGTAATATTGAACTTTGCATCAATCAATAAAACAGAACAATGATGCACACATAATGATGCTTCAGTGAGACTTTGGCTTATTTTAACCAGACTGTTAGAGACAATTACAAACAAAGCCATCCGACAGTGACAGACCAGGGTTATTAAAGTTACTAACTGAAATAAAATCACTAAATAAAATATTATCAATAAAATAATAAACAATTACAAATCATCTAAAAATTATTAATAAAATAATTATTAATATACATTTATACTAATAATAATTAAAGATATGAAACAATCTTATTAAATATTAAGTACCAATATTAAAACATAATAAAAAATAAAATAATTTAATAAAATAAAAACATTATTTCAGCTAGTTGCCAAAGCAACATTTCTCATTTTCATTAATTTAAAACTGATAATAACTAAAACTAAAACTGAAATAAAATGAATAAAAACTACACCAACATATATAAAATAATAATAATAAAAATGTCAAAAACACACAACAAAATTACTAAAACTTTAACTAGGATAAAAATGAAAACATGAAATATAAAATAAAAAAACTAATTTAAAATATTAATAAAAACTATTAGTATCTCAATGATTGTAAAACAACACTGACGCAGACACAGCATGTGCAAAATCAAAGGCGTCTGAAGCAGAAGCGCGCTAGAGCACCAGCGCATGCCTGCCGCATGCACACACAACCTCAGACGATCAGGGTCAAACAAGCTGTATCTACAAGCGTCAGGAATACAGAGAAACGTCTCTACCTGTTGGTCTAGTGCCATTTACATTGACTGTCGCTGTGTTGACTGGCGTCCGCCGAGCTGAGGAGATTCACACAAACACACACACACACACACACGTCTGAGCAAACACAGCATCACAGACACTGACGCACACATCAGACTAGATCACATGCAGAAAAATACATTAACCTCTGAAAGTGTCTAATCACCTCAGTCACATTTATAAACGTCTGAATGTCTTTCATAAGTGTCTGTATCTACAGGATACAGTTTCTCTTCACTAATGTTACGTTTCTTCATTATGTGTGAAGTCTCAATGTGTTGGAATCAGGATTATTATAGTAGGCTAAAACAAAACCCATAAAAAATGTTTTAAATAAACTAAATATTAACTGAAATAAACATTTTTAATATATATTTTTTAAATAATTTTATTTCAGCTTGTTGCCAAAGCAAAATGTCATTTTATAATAACTTGCTGTACAAAATAACTAAAACTAAAACTGAAAAAAATTATGTAGACACATTTTAAAAAACAAAAAATATAATAATGACAAAAACAACAAAATACCTAAAAATGTAATTACATTTAAAATGAAAATACAAAAAAATTCAAAATAATTCAAAACATTAAAAAAAAACTATAATAGTATCTCAATGATACTAAAATGACACTGGTTTGAATCAGCGGGTGTTTTGGTGATTTTTAGTGGATGTTCAGAGGAACCACAGATAGAGAGAATCCCATTAATTACCAACATCATCCACTAATTAACCACAAACAAATATATTTAATATCTGATGCAGTGACATTGAGACATTTATGTGTGTGACTGAAGTGTCCAAATACTTTATAAAGTCACTGTACCAAACACTTGAACCAGTTATTATCCAGATAATGAGTATTCTCTAACTACTAGTTGTCAAAAAACTAGAGCGTTATCGTTCTACCTTAAGTATAGAAACCCATTATGATGATGTTTGATTAATTTAATCAGACGTTTAATGAGAAGAGATAATTAAAGATGCAGCACACTCTCTACACTGAACACATCCATTCATTCTGTGAATCATGTGTGTTAGTATTCACACGCAGCGCAGCGCAGTAATGCGCTCTGAGACCGCCGGCTTTATGCTGCAACACAACAGAAATGAAACAAACGCGTTCCAGGCCCCAGGAGCTGAGATTACATGTTAATGAGCCGAAAATCCCAGTCCTGCCGTGAGCCTCGCTTCTGTCTGAAAACTCTTTGATAACGGAAGAGGAAATAAAACCGGGCTGTTCAGAGAAAACAGACGTCTGCTAATGACTGATACTGAGGATGAGGAGAGCAAACAGGACATGAAGTAAAGCAGATGACAGACACTCAAACTCCAATGAGACTCAATGAGATGATGACGTCAGACGAACAACAGACAAACGACAGACAAGCATGAGCCATTTGATATCACAACAACTATATATCATTAGTTTTGCTAAAGTTTCAAAGAAAAAACAGCTTATATTAAGTATCTACAGCCAGACAGACAGACAGACAGACAGACAGAAAGACAGACAGACAGACAAACAGACAGACAGACAG